CAGTCCTTGAGCTCCAGGCAGATGACATTACTGGCTAATATATTCTTATCCATTGGATACAGGCAGGAAGAATCATTTTGTCAGTCTCCTATTCTTCATTGTTCTGATTAGAATATTGTGATTTGGTAGCAAGTGACATGGTGAGAGGTTGAGGCAGGGTCTGCTCTGTGTCAGACATTTGTGAACACAGCCAAGAACTGCACACATAAAAGGATTTACATGACTTTGTCATTTTGGAGCCAGCATCTCAGTCCTGGATATTGATGCTGACCCTAGATAGTGCTTGAATAAACATGACTGTCATTCTGTAGAAACAAATAGAGGTATTGCAAGTGAGAGTACTGTGATCTTTGAGAGAATACCTGTAATTGTACTTACATATTACCTAGAATGCATGCACTAAATATTTTTGTAAAGTATTATGCTAGGTCCACTTTAGGCTTCATTTTTATGTAGTTGTTCCCTAGATGCTTTTCAATGGACACAGTTAAATGTTGTCGCCTCACCTTTTTGGTTGTCTAATTGTGAATAGATCCTCTAAAGATAATCATTTGTTTTGTAGAAGAATCAGCGCAGTAGAGAAGAGCAGACAGAAGTACAAAGCAGCCCCCCTTACAGTGGAATTCATACCTTTCTTTTACCGTGAGTACAACCATTGTATGATTGCTAATAGCGTGGCATCATTGTTTTACACTTATTACTGTATGTAAAAATGTAATTATGTAATAACATAATTATATAACTTTCTCTATTACAGAATGTTTTCAAGAGAGTGAACATCTTAAAGAAAGTTTAAAATGTTGCTTGTTACATCTTTTTGGAGCTGTTTTGTCTGGAGGCCAAGTAAGTACTGTTCATGCTCTTATCTTTGTAATAGGATGTTGGCTAAGCCTACTGCTGTTTTCTTATTCCATGGTTTAAAGGGCTTTTTTTTCTGTTTGTATTTTTGTGGTTGTCGTCTCAGCTATCCTCCTGTCTAGATTGTTGATACATAGGTTGCATACATAGACTGATTATTATTGCAAGTTAGGCCCTTTCATACCTAATCTGCCTGTAAAAGCCTTGAGTGGAGTGTTCAGGTCTATTTGGATGCTTTGTTGCTAGTGTGGCCAAATATATTCACACTTAGGATACCTCGAGCAGTAACCTAACATTCACAAAGCATTTAACGCAGGTGAATCATTCAGGTTCATATATATCAACTGTCAGTGATTTATTCACCAATCGTGAATGTTTGGTGGAGGTCACATTCACTGCTTTATAAATATGCCCCTGGTTGTTCACTGATTTTTTTTGCTTCAGAAAAGTGTAAAATTGAAATAATCTTTATATGAATCATGCGTGTACTAATGACCAATCATTATGTATTATGTGACACTGCTAGAAATTAGGGTTAACATCCAACTATTACAGTTCCATGAAAAAGTATTTATACTCCTTGAAATTTTCCACATTTTGTCATGTTACAACCAAAAATTAAATGTATTTGATTGGGGTTTTAGGTGATAGACCAACACAAAGTGGCACATAATTGTGAAGTGGAAGGAAAATGATAAATGGTTTTCAAAATTTTTTACAATCATTGGTATCAGTGACACCAATGATGGGGCACTATTCCTCCCACTGACACCAATTACACTTGCTGACCCTGTTCTAGTATGGTGCTGCTGCAGCCAGCATATGTGGTTGCAGCAGCACCTCTACACTGAACACTTACCTGCTGCTCCTGCACTCGATTTTTGTGGGCCGCTCGGCTCCGCCCCCTCGCCGGTGATTGGCCGCCTGTGTGCCTTTCCTGAGCTACAGTTCTGGCGGCCAATCACCGGTGAGGAGGCGGAGCCGCGCGAACATCCAGTGGCCGAACTGAAGGAGCAGCCGCGCTACCTGGACCGGATCGTCGTGGGACCGGAGCCAGGTAAGAAACAGCCCCTTCCCACCCCTGTGCTTTAGTGTCCCTTCCGTTGGAAGGGGCGGGCCGCGGCGGCACCGCGCCGCCCCCCTAAAAAGTGTCAGTATGCCGTATACCGGCGTATAAGACGACCCATGACTTTTGAGAAGATTTTCAAGGGGTAAAAAGTCGTCTTATACGCCGGCAAATACGGTATTTAGTAAATCGAGTCCACCTGTGTGTAATTTAATCTCAGTATAAATAAGGCTATTCTGTGAAGCCCTCAGAGGTTTGTTAGAGAACATTAGTGAACAAACAACATCATGAAGGCCAAGGAACACACCAGACAGGTCAGGGATAAAGTTGAGGATAAGTTTAAAGCAGTGTTAGGTTATTAAAAAATATCCCAAGCTTTGAACATCTCACAGAGCACTGTTCAATCCATCATCTAAAAATGGAAAGAGTATGGCACAACTGCAAATCTACCAAGAAATGGCCGTCCACCTAAACTGACAGGCCGGGCAAGGAGAGCAATAATTAGAGAAGGAGCTAAGAGGCCCATGGTAACTCTGGAGGAGCTGCAGAGATTCACAGCTCAGGTGGGAGAATCTGTTCACAGGACAACTATTAATCATGCACTGGCATTTATGGAAGAGTGGTAAGAAGAGAGCCATTGATGAAAGAAAGCCATAAGAAGTCCTGTCAGCAGTTTGCGAGAAGCCATGTGGGGGACACTGTAAACATGTGGAAGTAGGTGCTCTGGTCAGATGAGACCAAAACTGAACTTTTTGGCCTAAAAGCAAAATGCTATATGTGGCGGAAAACTAACACTGCACATCACCCTGAACTCATCATCCCCACTGTGAAACATGGTGGTGGCAGCTTGTTTGTAAATGTTTAAAAAGTAGGGAAATGTTTCTCTTGTGGGTCACAGAAGTTCACTTAAGTTCCCCTGTGTCCCAGAATCAGCTGACATCAGACTAAAGCCTGCTTTCAGCAGACGTCACAGAGCCGCTCCAGGCTCTAGAAGGATCCCGACCATATTGTGGGGTTCCACCCAACTGCCTAATTGGCTGCTGACCCTGGCTCTCCACACACAGACAGCTAGAGCATCACACCAATGTTATAGCATAGTGATGAGTATGTGTGTGTTTTTTTTTATTAACCCCTATACATCTCCCTTAAAGTTTAAAAAAAACAAAACTCACATAATGTACTTTTTTTTTTTTGCACCAAATTTTAATAAATTCATTACATATACATATTTAAAGGTTCTCTGTTTAGTGAAGTATTTAACAAACAATGCAGTCTGCGTTCTTGATAGCTGCTGAGAAAAAGCTATTACAGGATAAGCTTCTTTAGAATAAAGTATGGTCCGTTAATCATTAGGAGTGTAAGAAGACATAGACATGCTAAGTGAAGTAAAGTGGAAAAAGTAAAAAAGTACCATCATTATATTGTACTGCTAAATAGGCAGCACAGACTAGCTATTGAACACAGGAAATTTGAATTGTCTTCTGGATACAATTATTGTCAGGAGAACACAATGATTACTGCTAGTGGCTATAGCCCCATGCAGTAATCGCATGCTAAAAATCAGGCTAGTTGTACCCAAGTCAAGTCCTTCGATAAATTATAATTAATCAGAATATCTTTAATCTATTTTCTTCCTCCAGAGAAACGCTCTTCAAGTCATCTCACCTGCTACAATGGAAGTTCTGATGCGTGTATTAGCAGATTGTGACACATGGGATGAGCGGGGACCCAGATGAAGTGAGTCGGAAAGCAGAGCTAACCCTTAAGTGCCTGACAGAGGTTGTACACATCCTACTGGTGAGCAGCTCTGACCAGAGACAAGTGGAAATCAGCACCATTTTAGAGAACTACTTCAAGCTGCTTAATTCTGATCATTCAGCCTTACCAGGACTCAGAAGATCCAGACAATGGGAGAGCAGGTTCATCACACTACAGATAAAAATGCTAAGTACGTTTACTTCCTCAACTGGTTTGCAGAAATTTTTGTTTTCTCAAGGCAATGGTTTGCTATAGGTTTTATGAATTTACCAATTATAAGTGATGCCTAAGCTGTACATTCGTGTTAAGACAAATGTGGGTTCCAAATAGATTACATGTATATAACCAGACTGCACATACCGGTATATTGTGATGCAGCATATGCTACATAATAGGTGTGGGCAAAGATTTTCTCCACCTTCTGCAGTATACCTCATTTAGGATCTAAGTTTGGTTCATAGGAATCTGGCACTTGTTAATTGTTGGTCATTACTAATCTAACAAAACTAGCATGAATTGTCCAGCCAGGATGAATGTTACATTAATAATAAAACTGACTTTTACAATTATTATTTCACACAGAAAATACTTTTTTTTTAATTGATGTTGGAAAAAGCTCTCCTTGTATACTTGGCTGGAGATCAGGAACCTGGCCAGAATTTATGTTCATTTAAAAAAAATAGTAACAGAATAACTGTACAGGTACAACTTTTCCCTGTGCCCATCCTACCTAGCAGTGGACTAGTACTCCTACAATAGAGATGCTGGGAGTATGACCACTTTCAAGTCTATGAAGGTTTGCCATGTAAGCAGTGCCAAAGAAGACTTTGGCACCAAGACTGTAAACATTGGAGGATGCTGCCTCTATCAGGAACAGTTATCCTGTAAAAGTGATTGGGGTGGCTGTAGAGCTGCTTGGATCACTTTTACATGAAAGCTGATAACCGGCTCTAAAAACCTATGCCAGGATCATGGCTGCAGGTGCAGCTATGGTCCTAGTACAACCGCTTGCTTTTGTGGCTGTATATGTGCAGCCTAAGGACAGGAAGTGGTTAAAGTGTATTTTCACTATTTCAACCAAGTTGGGATAACTCCTATTTTATATTTGTTACATACTACCAGTCATATAGCATAGGTTCAAAAACAAAATTGCTGCCTAACTTTTGTTTTGGGTGGGGGCAGTTGTCCATAATTTCTGCATATTATAATGACTTCTATTTATATTTTGTATTTTTTATTTTTATGTACAGACTGTATGACTGATATGTTAAACTGCACAGACAGGCCGGTACTGCAAACTATTTTCCTAAACAGCAACTGCTTTGAGCACCTCATCAGACTGCTGCAGAATTGTAGGGTAAGTCCCTTTAGACAGCAATCAAATTTTGTATTTTCTACATATAAACAAGTGTGAATTGCCATATGGGAAACCTACATTATTACAGTAAAATTATGTTTTATGCATGTGCAGTTAGCCACTTGAGTTCTGTTAAGATCATAGAAAGATCTTTGGCTGTTCCACATTACCTAACCGTTTTAACCAGTGCCTGGAACTTATAGTGCATGATGCTAAGAAAACTAATCCATCTTGGAAAGCAACAATAAGAGGTTGTGTTTGCTTTGCGTGACTTGCCCATCAGGACTTTTTATTATTTTCTCTAAAATAAGTTTTCATAAAGTATCATTACTTATAGAGGTTCTTCAGCTGGTTAAAAAAAGAAGTCAGCAGCTACAAATACTGTAGCTATTGACTTTTAAGACACCTGTTTGTCAATGGATCCAGCACTGTCCTCACCTGAGCTGGATCTTCACTGGTCTTTAGTTCCCCAGTGACACCATCTTCAATATGGGAATCTGCCTGTAACTCCCTGTGGCATCACAGCTGGCCTTCCACTGTGCATGCAGGAGTTGTGCATGGCCTTTTGCCTTCTAGGACCTGTGACATGTCCCTGGAGTTTGTGAGCAGGGAAGTGGGAGCCAAACTTCTGCTCCAGTCGGCTTAGGTAGTCAGATTGGGAATGGGTACCTGTCAGAAATAGGTATGCCCCCCCCCCCTAAAAAATGGTAAAAATATTAGAGGGGGAACGTTAAGAAACGTGGATCTTCCCTTTTAGAGTGAACTTCCACTTTAAACAGAGATTCTGACATCTTTCTTATCTATTTTAATAACACATAACTTTATTTGCTTTATGATATTTTGTTCAGAATTAAAGCAAACCTATACTTTGCCCATGCAGGACAAAGCAGCCATTGACTTTTTATTCTGGCTCCTGCAACAATTTTTCACCTTCCTTTTGGCCACTAGAAGGGAAGTAAAATAATGCATAGTTTTAGGTTTGGGGGAGCATGTGTGTGTCTCCCCTTCCTTAAATGTGACAGCCCTGGTGCTTGGCAATTAGTTTAGCAGGCCCCTGAGAGTCTGTAGATCTACAAGTCATGAATTAGAGCTCACATATTGGTTCTCCTTATTCTCTAGAGCAAATATACTGTATCAGCAGGGGAGTGAAGAGAAGGTGAGCATAAGTTACTGCAGGGCTGGCATTAAAGTAAACCAATTGCTTTGAAAAAAAAGGGGTTTAGGATCACTTTAATTTAAGTCTGACCTACTTGGTAAAAATTTTTTGGGGGGGGGGCTTTCCATGTCATATAAGCTTTAATTTGTTAAAGCAGGCTTTCCAATAAAATGCATGGTCTGTTTATTAGATCTGGGCCCCCTCCCTCTGTAAAAATTGCTACATGATAGTATGTAAAAAAGGTACCTGTAAGAAAAAAATCATAAAGATCCTTGTGCAGTCCTGTCCTGCAGTCCTGGATGGCATTGCATTGTCCCTGCCATTCAAATGCCCTTTTGAGTTGTCACCCGGTCACACAGTCTTCTCAGAGATGTCCACAATAAGCCATGTCAATGTACATTGGACAGGCATAGTCCACTGTCCCCACCAGCGAGCCTGCCCTGTGAATTCATGTGCAGAAGTTACTAGAGTGCATGCATGTAGATAGAGGCTGCAAGAGATCAGCAGTTCTCATATGAAACAAGGAAATAAAAAAGTATTTTATTTAGTGCAGTGTTTCTCAACCTTTTTCTGGTCAAAGGCACCCTTTAAAATTATGGACAGTCCCAAGGCACCCTTTAAAATTATGGACAGGCTTGACAAGACTGTCCATAATTTTAAAAGGGCACCCCATTCTAAAATGTGAAAAACTGTTCTAATAGTTTTATATAACGCAGCAACATGTAGGATACCCAATATTAGAGGTGATTTATTCTTCCAAACCAAATACACTTGTGCATGCTGGTACTGATTAGCATTCCAATGTTTCTCTTCTCTCTCAGTTTTTCTCCATCTCTGAGCTAATGTGACCCCAGCACTGATGGAGAGGGGCAGGAGAGGGTCAAACTAGGATGCTGTGCAGGCAGCTGACATCCTCCTTATCAACTGATGATGTCATTGGTTGTCAGGACGCTGGCGGATAGAAGGTCGTGATGGTGCACAATAAAAACCCATGTCTTTGTGTATCTAAAAGGCAGACTTGTTTAATTCGTTGTTTTGTATACGAGTTTTAGGCAGTTTTTAGAAATTTTGCCAGGGCACCCCTGAAGAAACCTCAAGGCACCCTGGTTGAGAAAGGCTGGTTTAGTGAGCTAAATGTCATTCATTTGCAATTAACTTTAAGGGCCGGTTCACACCATAGAAATGTAGTTCAGATGTGTTCCGGATACATTTCTGCATGAGCGTTTTTGATGCATTCTTGTGTATTTTTGATGTGCGTTCCAGTGCATTTTTCCCCTATTTTTTTCATCAACTTAAGTAAGGACATGTGCAATCTGCTGTGTTTTAGGTCTGTTCCAGTGTGTTTTTTATGCATTTTAACCCTTTACAGTACAGTTTAATGCAGAACAAATGCAGCATGTTCTACTATTTTTTTCTGGAACTGGAACACATTGGAACTGACCACACTGGTATGAACTGGGTCATTGGAAACCATATAACCTACTATCCATGTGTTTTTTGATGCAGAAAAAAAAACGCTGACCTGCATGTGGTGTGAACCGACCCTAACGTATATATGTAAACCCTCAACTTGTAAAACAACACATTCAGTTTAAAATAGAGCAAAACATTTATGTATACATAAAAAAGTGAGTAAATACCCTCTGTTCTCGGCTGCATAAGGAGTTTAGAGAGCTGGGGGAGGAGAAACAGCAGCACACTGGTTGTGCAGCGAATGGCTATGCAGAGGGGGTGTGTCAGCAAACGTCTGATCATTGGAGAACAGCACACTGTACAAAATAAGCGGAAACTACCCCAACCTATAACTAGCCTTTGCAGTATGCCGTGCTCTCATGCCTAGTGTGGTCAGTTTTTAATAGGAAAGCAGAAGGATTGGTAGGAACACCAGGGTTTTCATACATAGGAAGCAATACAAAGAGAGCAGGATACTTTTTCATACAAGTACATGATATAGCAGGCACAAATCAGGAATATGTACTGGTGGGTTCACACCTTCTTTACCACTTGTGGACCAACGTTGGACTTCAAGCAGTTATACTCGGGTTATGCCTGGTACCTGGTACTATTTTTTAGAGCCGGCAGTCGTTTCTCTTGTAAACCATCGGATTAGTTAGCTAGCTCTTTCTGGTTTTCCCGTCCCCCCAGGACAGCTTTGGTCTGCTCTCTGCTATAGTAACCCAGAGGCGATGACCTGACATCACTTTCAGTTTACTCGGCACTAAACAGCAACATTTTTTGAAAACTTAAATCATTAAAAAAAAACACAATCTTGTTGTTTTGAATTCTTTTAAGTGCAGAGGGATTTTGTGCCTTATTGACCCCAGATCCCTCCATAAAAGTACCTGTCATGTACCTATTGCTGTCACAAGGATATTTACATTCCTTGTGACAGCAATAAAAATGATGAAAATAAAAAGAAACCGTGTAACAATAAAATAAATGAACAATTAAAAAAACTAATTAAAGTGCTCTTGTGTTTGTCGTCCTGCACGCACACAAACAGCGATTGTCCCACACATATGAGGTATCATCGCGAATGTCAGATCATGGGCAGTAATTCTAGCACCTCCTGTAAATCTAAAGTAGTAACCTGTAAAGGCTTTTGAAGCTTTGCCTATGGATAATAAAATATACGTTGTTTGTCGCCGATTCACAGGCGCGCACAATTTTAAAGCGTGACATGTTTGGTATCTCTTTACTCTGCGCAACATCATCTTTTATATTTTACAAAAAAAGTGGGTTATGTATTTTGGGTTTTTTTGCATTCAAATTAAAAAAGTGTATTCTTTCAGAAGGAAATTGTTTTTGAAACACTGCTGTGCAAATATCAAGTGACATAAAATAACTACAAAACCCATCATTTTATTCTCTAGTACCTCCGCTTTAAAAAAAATATATAATGTTTGGGGGTTAACTAATTTTTAGCAAACAATATTGATTTTTACATGAACATAAGTGTGAGAAAAAGGCCTGGAGGTCAAGTGGTTAAATAGGAACTTCACTCGCACTTCCCCCCAACCCCAATTGTTTCCTCTTAATTGTACAGTACACAGACTTGGTGGTTCATAGACTCTGGGTCATAGACTGCTATCTTTTGATGATTGGACACTGCAAACACTTTCGAGCATGCACCCCTTGGGTATATCCTTATAACCCTTTTATTTCCTCCTCTCCCTTACCTTTTATGCAATTCTGTCCTTGGTTCACATAGTCACCTGTCCGGCAGATCCAGGCTTGTCCCTCTGCCATCCACTGCTCAGGTGTGGTGGCCCAAGTCCTAAGCCGCCATCTTGGTCTTCCTTGGCTGGCTACCTCTTTTTGGACTCAAGCAGTCGACCCATAATAGTACACATCAGTTACGCCCCTGACTGCTCTGTGTCCTCCTGAAGCCTCTTAGGCAAGAATGGAGGCAGGGCCAGTAGAAAAAGTTAAAAATGTAAACTGTGTTTATGGAGGGTGGGAGGAGTGCAGGGAGGACTGGGTAAGTGAAGGTCTACTTTAAAAAGTTAATCAGTACATACAGTATGTAGGTTGCTAGACAATGAATATATGGAATAAAGCATATCCCAGACTAAAAAAATGTAATATTGCCGCTTACTAGTTATTAAATATGGTGGCTGTATTAGTATTCATTTTTTTGACCAATGCATTTTTTAGTAAGTATAGAAATACCTGCTGATTTTGACAGAAATTAAAGTAGAACTAACTATAGGAAAACCTTTTTTTTTTTTTTTTTTTTTTTTTTTTTTAAACTTTGGATACAGCAAGGGAGGGTTATATCCTTTTTCTTTTTTTTTCTTTTTTTTTTTTTTACATCTGCATCCCATTGCGGAGATTTCCCTTC